TTGATTTGATACATCTTTAGTTCTCAATTAGTGATTTTCCATGAGAGCAAGTTGAGCGATGCTACTTTTTAAAACCATTTCAAATTATTGTTTGGGTAGTGATATGGTACAATGTTGTAGGCCTATTGATATCATCAAGGGATATACTTCATTATTTGAAATTGCTATAATAATTGCAAACTGACTTTAAATTGTGTGAAAGATTTTATAGTCTATTACATGCACAGTGACTGTAAACAATACATCTATTTGTTGCTAATTAGTAGGCAATCTAATGCACTGTTCTTGCTAACATGCTGTGGGAAGACTCACTGGGCACACACTGGTTGAATCAACATCATTTCGTTGAATTGACGTCTGTGCCCACTGCCCAGTGGGGAATGTCTTGACGCTGACAATGCATCATTCCAGTAATCCTCATTTGACTCATTTGTGAATTATCAACATTTAATAGCAACACTATTATATGTTGATGATGGAATGTAACTGACAATAGCACAGCATGGTGCAGCACAGAGGGGTGTCAAACACACCCCTGTCCTTGAGGGCCACAGATCTGCGTGAATGCTTTAAAAGTGTGTCCCATTTACACACAGACTCATTTGTAAATCACGATCCAATTAAAATGCAATTAATAAAGTACCATATATCAACATGTTATTACTATGATGTTACTCATGTGATTACAACCTTACCGGACAGGTATAAGAGCAACTGAATTAAAGTTGTATCACTATACACTAGGCTTATGTCTAGGTATCTGGACCCAGATTAAGCCTAAAAAGCACATTAAATGGAGGTTTTCCATTGAGCATGTTTTTATTACATGAGTAAACTTCATCTGGGTCCAGGAAACTGGCCCTATATACTGTATAGTGGCCCTTGAGTACTGGAATTTAGCACTGTTTCATTTCTTTGACAATGCCGCCATCTGGTGTCCAACAGCCTTACCTGACTAAATATGGTATTTCTACTGCACGAACAATTTGTACAATGCAATCTATGTGAAGATAGACATGTTCCCAGAAGCATTATCAAACGAGAGCGTCTTAAGACCTGACTAGTCATTGGAGTGCGCTCTGATTTCTAAAGTAATTGCAATGTATTAACATTAGCTCAGTAGCTCAGCTGGTAGAGCACGGCGCTTGTAACGCCAAGGTAGTGGGTTCGATCCCCGGGACCACCCATACACAAAAAAAATAATAATATGCACGCATGACTGTAAGTCGCTTTGGATAAAACGTCTGCTAAATGGCATATTATTATTATTAATCCCAAAAATGTTCTGTATACAGAAACTCTATCTGGTATCATATTCCACATGAATATGAAACTCAAGACATTGTGTACTGTGCTGAATATTAGAATGAGTATTTAATATCTGGCTTTATTTCCAAGATATTGGGTGTGTTAGTAAATTCACTCTTGCTATCTACTCCGATTTCAGAGCACTCTCATCTGAGTGTGCCAGAGCGCAGAATAACTGATTCATTTACAAACGAGCAACACCCACTGAACATGAACTTCAGCAAAAAAAGTAATTCAACTGTTGCCAGCAGCACAGTTACAGTCACTAACGCTCTAGATAACATGAAAACAGCCTAACCAGCTCTGCTAGGGCGAGTAAAATGGTCAGAGTGAGGTATTCTATCATTTGTGTCTGGAAGTAGCTAGCAAGCTAGCCAACTTTAGCCAGTTAGCTTGGGTGCTTGACTGCCGTTGTGAGATCAGAATGCTCGGATCAACCCTACTCCTCTGCCAGAGCGTCCAGTGTGCGCTCTGAACACCCCGAGAGCGAAATGTTCTGAATTTACGAACAGACAATCTGACAACGCTCTGAATTTACGAACGCCCAGAGTGCACTCTGAGCGCAGTCTGGTACTCCAGATTGAATTGAGGAAAAAATACTATTTTCAATCAACTTTTAAAAATTGTCAAGAGTTTTTATTACAATTTTATCCCAAAATATCATCAGATAATTACAAAACATTTTTGTTTGTTAAATCAGGGATTCTTGAAAGACAGAACAAATATCTTCACAATATCTTTCTTAATTTTAACAAAATTTGAAATAAATATTTTTATAGACCAAAGTATCAACCTTCTTATTACACCTAACTGGATTTATGTAAACTCCATCAGACACCTTAAAAGGCATTTCATTTTTACATGTATTGTCCAACAAGTGTTTAAAGGCCTTGATTGTTTAATTCTAACATTAAATTATTCAAATATTTTATATAAAATAAAAGTTCAAAGCAAACATTTGAAACATTTGGAAAATTATTAATTTGACAATCCCCAATCAAAACATTACCATTCTATCAGATCTTTCAGCAACAGGTGATGTTTGGGAAATGTGTTTTTCGACTGTTGCTTTATGACTCTAAAACCTAATTAAAATGAACATATTTTAACCAAAATTCATATTCTGTCTTAATCTATAATCGAGATGGAGTGAACAGGTTATGGTTGTGATCATGGTAATTTCAATATTGTTTGTTTAAATCTATCAAAAGTAGAGACATTTCCAGACCATGAGTGATTTGGTTGCACTACAGGTAATCAGGAAATGATATACAGTGAGGGAAAAAAGTATTTGATCCCCTGCTGATTTTGTACGTTTGCCCACTGACAAAGAAATGATCAGTCTATAATTTTAATGGTAGGTTTATTTGAACAGTGAGAGACAGAATACCAACAAAAAAATCCAGAAAAACACATGTCAAAAATGTTATAAATTGATTTGCATTTTAATAAGGGAAATAAGTATTTGATCCCCTCTAAATCAGAAAGATTTCTGGCTCCCAGGTGTCTTTTATACAGGTAACGAGCTGAGATTAGGAGCACACTCTTAAAGGGAGTGCTCCTAATCTCAGCTTGTTACCTGTATAAAAGACACCTGTCCACAGAAGCAATCAATCAGATTCCAAACTCTCCACCATGGCCAAGACCAAAGAGCTCTCCAAGGATGTCAGGGACAAGATTGTAGACCTACACAAGGCTGGAATGGGCTACAAGACCATCACCAAGCAGCTTGATGAGAAGGTGACAACAGTTGGTGTGATTATTCGCAAATGGATGAAACACAAAATAACTGTAAATCTCCCTCGGCCTGAGGCTCCATCCAAGATCTCACCTCGTGGGTTTGCAATGATCATGAGAACGGTGAGGAATCAGCCCAGAACTACACGGGAGGATCTTGTCAATGATCTGAACGCAGCTGGGACCATAGTCACCATAAAAACACACTACGCCGTGAAGGACTGAAATCCTGCAGCGCCCGCAAGGTCCCCCTGCTCAAGAATGCACATATACAGGGCTGTCTGAAGTTTGCCAATGAACATCTGAATGATTCAGAAGAGAACTGGGTGAAAGTGTTGTGGTCAGATGAGACCAAAATCGAGCTCTTTGGCATCAACTCAACTCGCTGTGTTTGGAGGAGGAGGAATGCTGCCTATGACCCCAAGAACACCATCCCCACCGTCAAACATGGAGGTGGAAACATTATGCTTTGAGGGTGTTTTTCTGCTAAGGGGACAGGACAACTTCACCGCATCAAAGGTACAATGGACGGGGCCATGTACCGTCAAATCTTGGGTGAGAACCTCCTTCCCTCAGCCAGGGCATTGAAAATGGGTCGTGGATGGGTATTCCAGCATGACAATGACCCAAAACACACGGCCAAGGCAACAAAGGAGTGGCTCAAGAAGAAGCACATTAAGGTCCTGGAGTGGCCTAGCCAGTCTCCAGACCTTAATCCCATAGAACATCTGTGGAGGGAGCTGAAGGTTCGAGTTGCCAAACGTCAGCCTTGAAACCTGAATGACTTGGAGAAGATCTGCAAAGAGGAGTGGGACAAAATCCCTCCTGAGATGTGTGCAAACCTGGTGGCCAACTACAAGAAACGTCTGACCTCTGTAATGGCCAACAAGGGTTTTGCCACCAAGTACTAAGTCATGTTTTGCAGAGGGATCAAATACTTATTTCCCTCATTAAAATGCAAATCAAATTATAACATTTTTGACATGCGTTTTTCTGGATTCTTTTGTTGTTATTCTGTCTCTCAATGTTCAAATAAACCTACCATTAAAATTATAGACTGATCATGTCTTTGTCAGTGGGCAAACGTACAAAATCAGCAGGGGATCAAATACTTTTTTCCCCCTCACTGTAGCAGTATGAGTCTGAAGTAACAGCTTTAGTGGCAACATTGTTCTGAAGTAAGCATGTACTGTATCAGAGTTAAGCTATTGTATGAATATGTAACAAATTTAGGGGGTAGCCCAACCGGGACTTGAACCTAGTTCCTTGAACCTGTCAGTCTAAAATTGTCAGTGTAACACTTTAGCCATTACACCAAAAGGCTCAAAAGGTTGCAAGGTGTTGTACCAATGTAATTTCAATATTGTAGCGAATTCAGGTGGTAGCCCCAACTACGACTCAAACTCAGGTCCAGCGACTGTCAACCCAACACCTTCCGCCAAGAGATCCAAACCCCTTGATGAGGTCAGTAGATGTTGGGCTAAGGTCGCTACAATATTGAGTTTGTAACAGAAAATAACAGAGGAGACTAGTTAGCAATTAGTGCTCACAAAGACCAAGGTGCAAGCACGGAATTAGAATGAGATTATATTTCTATGGTTGCAACACAGTGATGATATCAGTGGGTCCAGTGATGACCCCAGATGAGGTCGATGAAAATGCAGGTCCTGTGCAGATCAACACTTCAATACACAGTTGTCACATCCAGCCCATCCCTGATGCAAATTATATGATTATGAACAGGTTACAATTTACCCTACCGCTTTTTTGAATTCACTTGAACTTCAGTGGGCTTTATCTGGATATCATATTGTTTGCATGAATAGTAAACTGTGATATACTTGGCAAATTTCTGATCTCTTGAACCGTAAATCAGTGGGCTTAAGAGACGTGGCATTTTGAGAATAGAATGATTGTTCGCTTATTTGGGAAGAGAGACAAGAGAATCGTATTGGTTAGGGGGTGAGATACGCCAGCATGCAGAGCAGAAGCTGAACCCCATGTAACAAAATTGTATTACGAGCCTTTCGAGCCGATGCTGGGTCTGTTACGGCAGCTTTTGCAGCAAAAAGGACCTTAAAATAAGTAACGACCAATGTCAGAAATACAAATGACAGGTTAACAATATGTACCGCCGTGGATGTAGCCTTATGATATGGGGAACCATAAACAGCATCGTTATAACATATAACAGCTGTGGAAAAAATGGTGAATGGTTTAGTAGCTAGCCCAATGATGACGTCACTGAGTGCAGGGATGACTGATACACTTCAGATGAGGCAGATGAGGATGTAGGTCCTACGCACTGTACAGAACTGAGTATGATGCAGGGGCTTACAGACAGCACAGTAGCGCTCTATGGCCATGCCTGCTAAGTTCAATGGACTGTTTCTGTTGGTTGTGCTAGTGATTACAAGCGCCATACAGCACACAGACATATTCAGGCCATGTGGCAGCGCATATGTTATAACCTGTAGCATCACTGCAAAAGACAGCATAATCATGTCGTAGATCACCAGGTGAATGTATAGAATATACCTCGGGTCACTGTAGAAGATATGACTCTTGAAGAAAATATACACAAAGGTTCCATTGATGTATTTGATGATTACACCCAGGGCAAATGTTGTGAAGTTTTTCATGAAAGTGTCATTGAAGTTATCCATTGCTCTGCTGTTGTTCATTATTCAGTTGTTCATGAAAGCATTGTTGAATTGATTCCGGCCTTTGGTGAAATTCATTAATCGTTCACTATTAAGAAGTATTTGGACTGTACCTGACAAAGAAAAACAAATATTATTCAGAGTTTCAGACAATCCCCATAAGAAGTGATATGATTACAGGGATAGCTTCAACTTGATATACTGTACAATGAAAAAGGTAACGAAGCGCCTTACTGTTTTTCTTGGGACTGAGCTGGCTATTTTTATATATTTTTATTTTTATTTTTATTTGAAAGGCTGTAAAACTTACCTCGCAATGCCTGCCTGTCTGACTAACCAGTAAGTTTGTGAGGCAAAGCTACTGGTTTATATAGACACCTTTTCACAGATCTAAGTGAGATTATGTAATCCATTGGGGAATGATGAGTCAGCAGAGCAGGAGGGGATGGTGCATGACCATTATGTCCAAAATATGTATTTTCAACAGCCCAACCCTGCCCCTTTGTTTGGTAAACTGAGAGATAGGGCAGGGGGAATAGGCTGAGGATAGACAGCTTAGAAGATTTGGCATGATAGTATTAAACCTATTTGAAATATTGGTAACACTTCCTATGAGTCCCCTTTTCATAATGCATTATAATTGCATGTATAATGCCTTATGAGCTATGCATAATGCACTAAAATGCATCTAACTGCACTCATAAAGCAGGCATTAGAATACCTTATGAAATGTGTTATAAAGTGTAATATAAAATATGAATTGCTCTTTAAGAAATTGTGTCCAGAGGTAATCTTCCATCATGTTTGGTGCACAAGACAGATTTAAGTGCGTGGGAGGTTGTGCAGTGGAATTAAAATATACCCCTTGATGAGCACATACAGTATAAAGCTGTATTTCCTAATGAGCAGTGAGGTATCACTGATTACTAGGGACACACATCAGTACAAAGTAGTTGAAATTGCTGGTTCCCCAACTTTCCATGGGGTTGGGGAACCATACAAGGAAAGGATAATTGAAGTGGCGATGTCAATACCTGAGGATCACCCACTGAACAAGAAATTCATCCTCCTGCTATCTCCCTACTGAACATTTCACACAAGATTAATACTGTAGGGTAGTGATGGGTCGTATGTGAACAAACAGCTCTTTTTGAACGGCTCCTTTTGGTGGACGTTGGGAATCGAAACATCTTGTTCGTTCATTTGGCTCCCAAATCAGAGAATGTATATAATATACCCCAGGAACCCTGTAGAAGATATGACTTTTGAAGAAAGTATACACAAAAGTTATATTAATGTAGTTGATGATTATGCCTACAGGTCAAATGTTGTGAAGTGTTTTGATGAAGGCTTAAATTAAGTGATCCACTCGGCTGTTGTTCATCATTCACTGTCTTTTTGATGTTGTTATATGATCCACTAGGTGAAAAAGAAAACCAAAACAGAATTGTTACATATTTCCAATAGTCTAATTTCAGGGCTGGAAAGTGTCATACAAATTGACATTTTAGTTAACTTTCCTTTTAATCCTCAATAATTTGGCATTACGCATCAGTGCAGCGTTTATATATCTTCCTAACACTTTTTTAGCATTGTCATCAAATCACATGAACTATGTGATATTGCATAGCATTGTGCATTGATAAGAACAAAGTGTAGCTACTACAACACAGAAAAGTCTGTTCTGAACGGCATTTTCTTTGTTCTTGAGAAACAGAGAACTCTTATCTTTCAGGTCCTGGAATAACACAGATGAGACAGAGAGTGCTACTTTATATAAAGAGTTACTGTCTTTATGTATGATATTATACTCCAATATAACACTAGAGACAGGAAAGGGGAAGATAAAAACATGTTAATTAATCAGAAGTAAAATAGTGATATAATTATCTGACCCTTTAAAACATTTTACAAAATGTTGATGCTTGTGTGGTTTAATCTGATTTGTTATACAGACATCACATACATACACAAGTAGGTCCTGGTTGTTGGTAAACTGTACATAAAGAAACAAAAAGACCTGCACACAATAAGCTGCCTTTAATAGTGGCTTGTTGTCACTAGGAAGGATTACAGTGGTCTTGTTTCTTTATGGATGAATCTCATGACATTGTTCCATGACATTGTTCCATGGTATTGAACCAAACTTGATTAATTGTATTTGTACAAACAATGGTAAAGGATTAGCATTATATTTCGAAGCATTACATTGTTTGTTAATAAAGACCCAATGACAATGGAAATGTAAAGAATGTTGTAGTAAACTTACATTTTAGGTTATGGTAGGGTAATACAGTTGGACTACAACAGGGCTGCCCAAAGCTGTTCTATTCAGCTTATCAACCAACTAATGATTAGAATCAGGTGTGCTAGATTTGGGTTGAAGCGAAAACCTACAGGACGGTAGCTTTCCAGGAACCGGGTTGGGCAGCCCTGTATTACACTCACAGGGGATGAACGTAAACATTTTCAAGAATCAAGGGGTAGTTGATATGGCCATTGGACTGCAGGAAATATCTCTTAACATGCCTTTAAAAATATACTTCCGATTATCATGTTGATTTCGTGGACTGTCAGTCCTTGCATCTATAGGTCCGTCTATGAATTTGAGTGGTTACATGCACACGAACACACACACACACACACACACACACACACACACACACACACACACACACACACACACACACACACACACACACACACACACACACACACTCACAGTTCATATTTTATTTACACCCTGTAGGAATGAGTAATTGTGTCATTGAACGTGTTTTTCCAGCAAACAGCATTATGTTACAGTATAAAAACATAATGACAATTTATGACATAATGTACAGTATTGTGAAGTGGCGCATATATGTCACTGACAAGGACCCCCACATTTGTTCATTTATTGCATTTTTTTCATCCATCACTACATGCAATACTTCATATTCTATCCATTCTCTCAGAATTCAAGCAAAATGTTCCTATCACCTGAACTTGAGATTCACTTTCATAGCCGGCCTCACTCTAGATCTATTGTTCCTGTGACACATCAGGTACCTGGCCCAGTATTTGCGGAACTGCTTGTCCCTGAAACCGTAGATCATGGGGCTGAGGAATCGTGGGATTATGTAGACCAGCAGGAAAAATATGTAACGGATCTCCAGGACAAACTGGGGGAAGAGAGCGATGAGGGCTGCTTGCAGAGAGGGGACTACAAAGGCCAGCATGCACAGCAGCAGCTGCACCCCGTGGAGTAGCACTGTATTCCTTGCCCTCTTTATGGACACCAGGTTTGTGGAGGCAGCGCGTGCTGTTAGCATGATCTTACAATAAGTGTAGAGCAGCGTGAGCGCCACGAAGGAGAAATAGATGCTGTCAAACACAGCGTTCTTGTAGTAGATGGAGCGGTCCCGGAAGACCAGGGATTGATCGCAGAAGATGGAGGTGCGGAAGAAATCCAGGGGCTCCTTGATGAGTGTGATCAGGAGGTCAGTGAGAGGCACGGCCACCGTTAAGAACAGGATGAACACGATGAGGACAATGGTGCGCGACACCGTGCACATGTGCCCGTAGTATAAGGGGAAACAGATGGAAAGGTAGCGCTCCACAGCCATACCGGCTAATATGAGAGGGGTGGAGCGTGTGGTCAGCACGGCAGTCATCACCAGCAGGCAGCACACGGAAGCATTGGATCTTTATGAAAATGTAGCTGACCACGTACAGTGCCGTGACCAGGGTGAGCTGCAGGGCGTCATTTATGACCATGTAGATGAACATGATGTAGCGCGGGTCCTCATAGAAAAAGTTATGTTTGAGGAAGGTGTGCACCATGCTTCCGTTGATGAAGCTTAGGGCCATCCACACCAGCACGGCCACAATGTTCTTGGTCAAGGCGGCACTAAAGCTGTCTTTAGGATAGCCACCTCCTCCAACTGACATCTGGGATGTGAAGTTCATGTCCAACAGGCTGGCTGAAGAGTTCATTTCCTTAATGGAGAAATTGGAGCACATTTCAAACAAATTGCAGTCAACATTTTGTTGTCTAAGTCAACATGTTTGGTTGTCATTGTAAATAAGTTAACTTGTTCTCATCTGGTAAAAGTAAAGATGGAGAAAATAAATATAGTACCTTTCCCTTAAATGACACAAGAAGAAGCCTTGGTTTTTAGCAGTCCTTTGTTAAATGTGAGGCCACAACTTGCCTTAAAAAGCAATAAAACTAGGAAGATTCTTGATTCAGTGTCTTCTTGATTCTTGAAAATGTTAGATGAGCATCAGATCTGGAAATAATTGCCACACCAATTATGCCATGTTAAGTAAAAGTAACTCTTCTACAAGAAACAACACACACAAATCCGTACAATGTTATGCTAATCCACATACTCACCTTTTAATGTTGTTAAATTGCATTCATTTTGTAAAAGCTCTGATATATAGCAAATACATAGTAAATAATGTGTCAACTCCTACATCATGATAATTAAAAAAGATAGTGAACTGACAAATCCTATAGTCAGAAAGTACTGCCCTACAGTAGTACTATTCAGAACGTATTGCTCTATTAAAACAAACTTTCACTGGCATTGCAATGAAGCATCAAAGCATCAGCATGTAAAATAATGTGTTCACTTACCTCCTGTGTAACTTACATTTGACCAAACATCCCAGGTTCATGTCTGCCTTATAAAGTATGTGGGGGTTTGATAAGGATGTTGTGATGTAAGAGGTCATGCATTAATAAGTGTCAGGAGACCATGGATATCCACCGTGTATCAAGCTTATTATTTTTTACCCCATGCTGCAAAAATGTTCAATATGGTAAAGCATGGTGATCAAGGGACTTTCAATGACCTTCAGAGAAGAGAGCAGAAAGTATATGTTAAAGATAGGCTATGATGTGAAGTTGTTCATTAAGGAATCAAAACTAAAGGCACTACATCCATCCAAGACATCCCTAAATAATAGTACATTATTGGTAACTATATATAATAACATTGATGAATACCGGGAAGTCATTATACATGCTAAATCATGTTCACAAATTCTTATGAACGCATTATAAAATATTATAAGTGTTATACAAGTTTATGAATTGTAATGTTATAATGCTTATATATGTTTACAAAGAATGAAATAATAATGTGTAGTAGTATGGACACTATTTATAAATAGTTTATGTTATTATGAAGTGTAACTCTTTATAGTGCTGCTAATTCACCAGAATAAATAAAAAATGAAGTTATGCAATTCAGTTGACAATTGTCAGGTTGAAGATAATGAGCGTAATTTTTGTCGCACGAAAGAGCACAGTTCTGTAAAAAAACAAAAAAAAACTACGTAGAACTCATTGCAATATGGAGCACAATTAAATGTTTAACTTTTCTTCAAAGATGTGCATTATAAGGGGACTATTATTTCAGCCTGCATTATGCATGATGCAGGTGATGCATACGATCAGTCCCGAGTTGAAGTATTTGGAACTCACATGGGATAATGCACCATCCCATCTATTTGAAATATGATGGTTAATTTGCACACTACTCACTGCCATTTGCTCATGCAAAATATCACCCTATGTATTTGATCCTCTCTAATGATCAGGAATGTCATAACAAAATTTGGGTTATTCCTTTAGTCCTCACTAATAGATTAGTGAACTAAAATGTAAAATGTAAAATGTAAGCCACCATGCTTCTACATCTGCATTGCTTGCTGTTTGTGGTTTTAGGATGGGTTTCTGTATAGCACTTTGTGACATCTGCTGATGTAAAAAGGGCTTTATAAATAAATTGGATTGATTGATTAATTAAACAACGGCATTACTGCTTTGTCTACAGGTTTTGTCAGTTTAACTGCAAATACATAGCCTGGTCCCAGATCTGTTTTTGCTTTTGCCTACTCCATTGTCATTGTCAAGCTAAACAACGTTTGGCATGCCAGTTCTATTGTCAAGAGTGCTGTATGTGGAAGGTGCGGGAATCAGGCGTTTCGTTCAACAGTCTTTAGTAGATCAATACGAGCAAAAGTGCCCGGAGACGAGCGATACGCACACAGGCGTAAACGAACAGGAAAAATACTAAACGCGCACAACAAGTGCGAAAACCTCTCCTAAAACACAAGGAGGGAAAACCAAAACAGACACGAAGACAGGAAGCTCAATAACACACAACACATGACTAACAAAACAAGAACTTATAGGACACATAATCAACGCTAACTAACCACAGGTGTACAACAATCAGACAAAAGCAAACGAACATAGAAACATACAACGGTGGTAGCTAGTACTCCGGGGACAACGACCGCCGAAACCTGCCCGAGCAAGGAGGAGGAGCAGCCTCGGCAGATTCCGTGACAGTACCCCCCCCTTGACGCGCGGCTCCAGCCGTGCGCCGACCCCGGGGACGACCAGGAGGACGCGGTGCAGGGCGCGTAGGGTGACTACGGTGGAACTCAGTCAGGAGAGACGGGTCTAGGATGTCCCTCCTCGGCACCCAGCACCGCTCCTCCGGGCCGTACCCCTCCCACTCCACAAGATATTGGAGACCCCCCATCCGACGTCTCGAATCCAAGATGGACCGAACTGTGTACGCCGGAGCCCCCTCGATGTCCAATGGGGGCGGAGGAGTCTCTGCTATCTCACCTTCCTGGAGTGGACCAGCTACCACCGGCCTGAGAAGAGACACATGGAACGAGGGTTTAATATTCTTATACTCAATAGGTAGTAGTAACCTGTAACTCGTTCAATGTCCTCAGGACTTTAAAGGGCCCTACAAACCGCCGACCCAGCTTCCGGCAGGGCAGGCGGAGGGGTAGGTTTCTGGTCGAGATCAAGACTCGATCTCCAGGTGCGTACACCGGCCCCTCACTGCGGTGGAGATCGGCGCTTGCTTTTTGTCGACGGATGGCCCGCTGCAGATGGACGTGTTTAGCGTTCCACGTCTCCTCCGAGCGCCCTACCCACTCATCCACCGCAGGGGCCTCGATCTGGCTCTGATGCCACGGTGCCAGAACCGGCTGGCAACCTAACACACATTGGAAAGGGGTTAGGTTGGTGGAGGAGTGGCGAAGAGAATTCTGGGCCAACTCTGCCCAGGGAATATACCTCGCCCACTCCTCCGGCCGGCCCTGGCAATACGACCTCAGAAACCTACCCACATCCTGGTTGACACGTTCTACCTGCCCATTACTCTCCGGGTGGTACCCCGAGGTAAGGCTCACCGAGACCCCCAGGCGCTCCATGAACGCTCTCCAGACTCGGGAGGTGAACTGGGGACCTCGATCAGACACTATATCCTCGGGTACCCCGTAATGCCGGAAGACGTGGGTGATTAGTGCCTCAGCGGTCTGCAAGGCAGTGGGAAGACCTGGCATTGGGAGAAGACGACAGGCTTTAGAGAACCGATCCACAACGACCAGTATGGTGGTATTCCCCTGAGAGGGGGGAAGGTCTGTAACAAAGTCCACTGAGAGGTGAGACCAGGGTCGTTGTGGAACAGGCAGGGGTTGTAACTTACCCCTGGGCAGATGTCTGGGCGCCTTACACTGGGCGCACACCGAACAGGAGGAGACATAAACCCTCACATCCCTGGCTAACGTTGGCCACCAGTACATAGCGCTAAGTCAGTGCACAGTCCGGCCAATACCTGGATGTCCAGAGGAGGGTGACGTGTGAGCCCAATAAATAAGTCGATCCCGAACCTCGAGCGGAACGTATGTCCGACCCACCGGACACTGTGGAGCAACGCCTGCTCGATTTGTCCGACCCACCGGACACTGTACGCAACGCCCGCTCGATTTCAGCATCGACCTCCCACACTACCGGTGCCACTAGACAAGACTCCGGCAGTATGGAAGTGGGCTCAACGGACCTCTCCTCTGTGTCATACCGCCGGGACAGGGCGTCTGCCTTACCGTTCTGGGACCCAGGGATGTACGTGATTTTAAATACAAACCGGGTTAGAAACATGTTCCACCGAGCCTGGCGAGGGTTCAGTCTCCTAGCTGCCCGAATGTACTCCAGGTTACGGTGGTCAGTCAAAATGAGAAAAGGGTGTTGAGCCCCCTCAAGCCAATGTCTCCACACCTTTAGGGCTTGAACCACGGCTAACAGCTCCCTGTCTCCTACGTCATAATTACGCTCCGCCGGGCTGAGCTTTTTAGAGTAGAAAGCACAGGGGCGGAGTTTAGGTGGCGTGCCGGACCGTTGTGATAGCACGGCCCCTATACCGGCCTCAGACGCGTCCACCTCTACCTGAAATGGTAAGGCGGGATCCGGATGCGCAAGCACTGGAGCCGAGGTAAACAGGGCCTTCAGTCTCCCAAATGCCCTGTCCGCTGACCACTGCAATCGCACCGGACCCCCCTTCAGAAGAGATGTTATGGGAGCTGCCACCTGTCCAAAACCCCGGATAAACCTCCGGTAGTAATTTGCAAAACCCAAGAACTGCTGCACCTCTTTCACGGTGGTTGGGGTTTGCCAATTACGCATGACTGACATCCGGTCAACCTCCATCTTCACCCCTGACGTGGATAACTGATAACCCAGAAAGGAGACCGACTTCTGGAAAAACAGACATTTCTCTGCCTTGACATACAGGTCGTGCTCCAACAGCCTACCCAACACACGACGCACCAGGGCTACATGCTCGTCTCGGGTAGGCGAGTAAACCAGGATGTCATCTATGTACACGACCACACCCTGCCCCTGCATGTCCCTGAAAATCTCTTCCACAAAGGATTGGAAGACTGAAGGAGCATTCATCAACCCGTATGGCATGACGAGATACTCGTAATGACCCGAGGTGGTACTAAATGCCGTTTTCCATTCATCGCCCTCCCTAATGCGCACCAAGTTATATGCGCTCCTGAGATCCAGTTTCGTGAAGAAACGGGCTCCGTGCAAAGACTCAGTCATAGTCGCAATCAGAGGGAGTGGATAACTGTACTTCACAGTGATCTGATTGAGACTACGGTAATCTATG